ACAGTTGAAAAATGCATCTGTACGCAAATTGAAGCGACGGTTCGTAGGACCATTTGCTGTGGTCCGTCAGGTGGGATCAGTGGCCTACGAATTGAAGCTACCAGAAGGGTGGAGGATACATAATGTCTTTCACACCAGTTTGCTTCGACCATTCAGATCGTCTAGATGGTCCACCCCACAGGAGTCAGATGACGCCGAGATCGAGCCAGAGGCTGATGAACCGTATGAAGTTGAGAAGCTGCTGCGATGGAGATGGGCAGGACCCAGTGGCAGGAGGCATAAGGAGTTTTTAGTGTTATGGACAGGGTGGAGTATTGACGATGCCTCCTGGATACCTGCTGGAAATTTCACCTATGCACATGAACTTCAGAAAATGATCAAGAGGGATAAGCCCGAGGAAGACACTAGTATGGGATAGTGTGCTTTCGGGGGCGAAAGCTACCCCAAGGGGGGAGTATTGTGACGTGGCTGCTTGGGGTTAGGCTAAAATTGACATTTCTGAAGCGGCGGTTGGTCAAAAAAGTGCAAATACGGCAAAATCAGCTTATTCAGGAGCTCCTGATGCCAATAGCGACTTGAAACGTCCAATTCCGTGTAGAAACGGCGAAGTTATGGCCAGTTGAAGTTGCAATACTTTAGCATGGGATTCGGACCGGTAGATGGAAGCATCGGGGATTATGTGGAGCTGATTTAGGTGAATGGTGGACGGTGACAATGTGCCTGGACGCGCATTTGTCTTGTCTTGTCATGATGTGACCGCGATGGACCCGCGATCGGGCATCGCGCATGCGATATGTGCGCGCGCATGCAGTGAATCGTTGTAACATCTTTGGTCCACTCTCTGGCCTCCCGCGAGCCAGCGAACCACCACACCGCTGCGCCGCCACCTCTCGCTGACAGCAGACTCCGGGGATCGATCCCCGTTGAGCATTGGGCCCACCGCGCGACCACAGGAGCGACTGCCCCGGATACGCCCACCGTCCAAGGTGGAGAGGGCCGGCTGACCTCCAACAGCCGAGCTGCAGGGCAGGGCGACCCCAACGCCTCCGGAAACCAGCGGCTGCCGACGGGGCCGCAACAATACGGTTGCTTTGTAGATGTAGTAAATGGGAACATTTAATTAATAGCAACCTAAGGGTTGAGTTGTGGAACACTCGGGTGCAAAGGACAATCAAACGGACAATTTAACTGATGTATAATCAAAGCCTTTTAATGTCATGCCCCGGGGTTCCGGTTGACTCCCCATTTCGTCCGACCGTGTGCCCGAGGGAGCTTCCAAGCTCCCGTATTAGATCACGCCGGAAAGCCCTCGTCGGGGCTTACACACCACCCCGTGTTCGGTCTCCGGATCCCACACACTGTGCAAGCAAAATCGCGAGAGCGCACAGTCCGCCGCCACCAACCACATTTCCTTTTATGGCAGTCCACTCACGGCCACCCAGATCCATTCATGACCACTCACTTCAACCCCTCGAACGGACACTGGCCCCCTCGGTGTGGCTGTCCGACGTCCATAGTACTTTATCAGGCACGTCAACCTTTTAGAGGTGGCCACCCAGATCCGTTAATAGCTGACAGAGGTTAATTTCCGTTAATTTTCCATTAATTAACGGAAAATAACGAAAAAAGACAAAAGTTAACCAAAAATTAGCGGATTTTTGGATTTTTTGGGGATTTTTGGGTTTTAGTCATACTTATAGTTTATGGAATTCGCTATTAGAGAGTATGTTTGTATTTTATTTCAACCTATGCATACTAGATTTTCAACTAGCCGCAGTTGTTGTGATTTTTTGGGTTTTTTTGATTTTTTTGGATTTTTTTCGTTTTTTCTGAATTTTTCTCCCTTTTTCTTTAACGAAATTTAACGGACAGCTGATAAAAATTAACGAACCGGATTTAACGGACCGGATGGCACCCTTGAATGGCCACCTCTACAACCTTCCCCCCGCCCTCGTGACAATTCCGCGCAACCTGACTGCGCCTCCCCCCCCCGAGGTGCACCCCGGCTCCTACCCGCTGCGCCCGCGCCTCTCCCCGCTCGCCGCTCGTTCACCGGCCGCCGCGCCGGCTCAGAACTCCACGGGCTCCTCCTTCACAGAGGGCCCCGCCACCTCCTCCCATTCCTCGCCGATCGCGCTGGTGGCATCGGCCTCCTTGGCGCTGTCCATCCCACCGCCCTCGTCCTCATCCATCTTGCTGCCCGACACATTTCCTCGCCGCTCCTCCATCAGCGCATCCTCTTCCCCTGCAATGGCGGCTTCACACTCCAGCTCCACGCATGCCACAATCGAGCCAATACCCGTGCTCCCGTCACCATCCATTCCAACACCGTTCATGCGTCGAGACGCCCCGGCTCACCGGCCTCTGGGGATGCTCTCCGGTGAGTCGCCCTTGTGACACCCGGCGTGTGCCGACCGCCCGCCCGCCTCCCCGCGGTGTGGATCCACACACTTTTGAGTGCGAACTTTGGTGCTGGCTCTTCATGGCGGCGACACTCGGCGAGCGGCCTCCAGCTCCGCCACTCCCCCGCCGCTTTCACTGCCCGGATGGCACAGTGCGGCATTCGCTGCCGCTCGCACCTCGCACGCACCTCTCTCTGCCACGTGCCGCGCCCTCCGCCTGGCCTGCGCATCTCCTCCGAGCGGTAGGGGAGCTCCTCGGCGCGTCCTCGGGGGCGCGCCTCCACGCGAAGTCGGTGCCGCCCGACTCGTCGGCCCCGGGCCCGCCGTACGGCCCGCCGGCACACCGAGGGGGGTCAGGAGACGTACAACCGTCTCCTGGTATGGCCGCCCCCCTTGGATGACCGGCATGGTCGACTCCACTCTGCGTAAGGCAGGGTACTGGCAGGCCCCCGAGAGAGGGAGCCACTCATCGGGGCCCCACTCCTCGAAGGGCTTCTGTCAGGCCGCTGCCCACGCGGTGGCGGAGGGTCGGAGGGCCATGGCCAGAATCACCGGCCAGACTCCCCACACACCCTAAGTACTGTCCGCCAAATTAAAATGTAACCACTCCAAGATATAATACTTATTCAGTACTGTACCCAAGTACCCCACAAACGGGACTTTTCAGCTCCTTCTTCAGGAGCTGTTTGGTGGTGTGTAAGTCCCTTTTTCAGGGACCAAACATTCACCACTCCCAAACAAATGCAATATATGCTTTTTTAGCATGTCTTGCCTCAAACTATTCTCAAAATCAGCTCAGAAAATGCAGTTTCTTCTCCAGAAACTGCCCTACACCTTCCCACAATCCCACAGCTCCTTTTTCAGGAGCTGTTTGATGATTGCACACATCCCTTTTGCAGGGATTCAGTCGTGCACCGGTGGCAATCCGGAACAAAACATGCTTCTTCAGCATGTTGAACATGGGGAACTTCCCTTAACCACATTCTGAACTTCAATTTCTTGTTCAGAAACTGATTCTATAGTTCTGCATAATCTCACAGCTCCTTATAGAGGAGCAAACCCACTTTTTCAGCTGTGAACAACAACCATATCATTCCAATTTCCAGGGCAGCGCCACTTTTACAGCGGCAGCTGCGCACTACCACTTTTGCAGCGGTAAGCATCAACCAAAAGTATCCAATCTCATTGTCTGTACCACTTTTTCAGTGGCAGCCAGTTTCTACCACTTATTCAGTGATATTCAGCAAACAAAGCTGTCCTCTTCCAATGACAGTGCCACTTTTGCAGTGGCAAATAAACTTCAGCCACTTCTCCAGTGGCAAGCACACTTTTCATTAGGTCATACACGCGAAAAGGATGCATGAGCTGGAAAGAAACATCAGCTCAGTGCCATGCCGGGGAAAGAGACATTCCGGCATGTTCCTTGAGGCGCATGCCTGAAAAACAGTCGACTAGGGGCACAGCCCCACAAATGCACTTCTGTGCCGCCCTATGGCTGGGAAAGGATGCCAACCAACGGGATACACTCTTATACACGGCCAGGCCAACCATGGGCACTCTGACCGGTCCAAGGCTCCTTGTTCAGGAGTTTTCACACCTTTGTCACTTGTTCAGCGACATTTTTACAGTTTCTCTGCTCCTGTCACTTTTTCAGCGACACTCAGAGCTGTCACTTATTCAGCGACAAAATCAGCATTTGGGACAATCAAAGAACAGACAGGCTGGGCAACACACCAGCGCAGCCCCATGTTGAGGCAAGACACTTCCCAAGTTTTTTGAGCCCAAATGACCAAAAAATACGGTCCAGAACACAGTTCTAGGACCGTTAGTTCAGATCCTACCCATAGCTGGAAAGGGACATCAGCATATGGGATTGAATCTGGACCAAAGTGATGTGATGAAACGGCCAGCAGCACAGCTAGCACGTGTGTTTTCTCCACAGCAATATTGCAGCTGCGGGTGACTGATGAATAAGTGAACACATGCAACCTTAGTATGGGGTAATCCACCCTGGAAAGAGCCATCGGGTGTGGGCCCAAACTTTCGGTCATGCATGGTTCTTCTCTAGCCTTTTTCAGGCCAGTAACCTCGTAGCCTTGCGCATTTGGCTTTGAGGCTGGACACACGCCCAAACTGGGCGGTATCCTTATTCAGGACACATAGCCCCACCAGATATCGAGAGCCGCGGTCAATACCGGTGAGGCAGCTTTCACTGAAATACTCTTGCAGCGTAGGGTGTCCCTCAGTCGTCACCAAGCGCCCCTTGAGGCATAATTCCTCTCAACTTTCATGGCCAGCTTGCTATATTACCAAAATTGCAAGCCCTTAACCAGTTTTTTTTTGTTTTTGCTTTTTTCTCTTTCTAACCGGTGGTGGCATACTCGGGCCATCCCACACAGTCAGCGCGCGTGTCAGACGTGAGCCCCTCGCCAGCTGAATCATAAGTGACTCACCCAGTGAAACGGTGGTCATTATGCAGCTGCGCGAACACGCCCTTAGCTGCGACTCAAAGGGGCGCCACCCATAGCTTAGCAGCTATTTTCGGGTACCCACATCAGCGCACCCCCTCCGCGAAGCCGCTCGGGGGCAGGCTCGGCGATGTGGCAGAAGAACGCGTACCTGAAGAAGACGCGGCAGGGGAACGTCGTGAAGGTGTGACCGCGCTCCAGACCTCAGGCCTGCGCTGGCCAGTGCAAGGCCCTGGCGATGTCTGGGCCCCCGCGCCCGCGGGGGCTCCATCGAGGCGCCCCGCCCAGAGGGACACCAGTCAACATTTAGCATTGGTTTTGACGGCGTGCGCAAAAGCGAGAAACCGCTCCCCTTTGCCTGCTGGGTGGGATGCTATCGGCGGCGGAGCGCCTGGCGAAGTGGTCGCGCGGGTGTTGCGACCCCGTTATCACTTCTTGGCGCATTACTTGAAGCGGACGAGCGTCTCGATGGCGTCCGCCGGGCCGAGGCCCAGCCGGCGTGATGGCGCCGAATGGGAGATTCTGTGGCCGTTCGCAAGCTGGAACTGAGTTCGAGAGATGTAGCGCCTGATTTGCAGTGTCGGGCAGCTCATCGCTGGCTAAGGCTCGTGCAGCCGTGCCGCAGCTGAGAATGTCCTTCCCTTATCCTTCCCTTGTCAGTCTGACCAAACTTCCGTTGTCGAATCATCTGATTCAGATGCATTGTGCCTGGTTGCTTCCTCCCTGCGGATATGCCGTTCTCCCGCTGCTGTAAATTGTGGCTTCCTCATCAGTGCGACTCCCAGTTCAAGTTGGGGTTGTTGCGGTTTCTTCAGGTGGTCAGGGAGCACTACTTGCGCGATGACATATCGTGAGTCATGCTGAAGTGTGGAATCACATGCTGCGGTGACTGAAACAATAAATTTGTATCAACATTCAGCAAATTGATAGAAATGGCTGGTGATGAGCTGATTGATTGTGTCTGCATTTATCGAATTGACATAGGGCTGACAGACAGTGCCGTTCGGCTCAACCAAAGGCATTGCAGGGCCACAAGAAGGAAACGATTTGTTTGATTTGTCCCATTCTTCACAATAGAACTTCACAATTCCTACTGCACAAAAATGATTGCTGACACTGCCGGTTTTCCTTACAACTTGATTCCCAATCGAGTTCAGATGTCGTCCTGCTGATTCTCCATCTGTTGTAATAATGTTTGCGACGATTCTGTCGATGGCACAGGAGTGGCACACCTCTCGACCCACAGTGCAGCCCTTCCGATGCAAAACTGAGTGCAGATGCTAGGCACTATCTGGTGGTGGACACAAATGTTGTGCTGAAGGCTGTGAGTGCTTGTTACGATGGAAGGCTGATCATTGTTGAGAACTCCAGCTGCAGACATACAGTTTATTGTCTGGACCCTGTTCTGCTCATTCATTTGTGCCCTCTGATTCCACAGGTTTCCAGTTTCTCTGTTGTTCAGGCGATGTGCCAACAACATGGGAAGCCAGTGTTCAGAACCATGCCCCTGTTTGGTACCTTTGCTGAAAATCCCAAGTGATAAACTCACCCTTGGACATAGTACCATAGATCACGGAGGATAGCACCCGCCCAGCGTTGACCATCAGGGCTGGTGTCAAGAACGCAGGGGGAGCACTACCATGCGGGCCGCCACACTATCTTGCATAAGCCCTACATTCCGCATCACTTCGGGTGATCGCTACACCCCCCACGTTGCCACATTGACCACCCAACAAATTTGACACCTTCAGTACCAGTCTAAATAGGACTCCTATCACAGTAAACTGGAGGGACGCCACCATCACATTTTTGCAAATTCGTGCACTGCGTTGTTGCATCTTTTGGTAGTGAATGAGGATGTTTCATCATGGGAGCTATGCCCCGCTATAACCCCCGCGCTTTGCAGTGCTGGCCATGTACGATTGCGTAGGGGCATTATCTAAGGGTGCCCACTGTATTCAGCACCCCCTTTGCTATCCTCCGTGACCTATGGTACACACCTAGGTGGAAAGTTGGCCAAAAGTACTGCACGTCATTTCACCAGCAGGGCTTTGTGTTGTCTCCTGTGGCCTCCACATTGGATGTAGCAAGCTGGCCTGTGACCAGCTTCAGGGAACAATTGTTGTTTTGTGGCTTGCAAGATGAACAGAGTGCAGCGTGTCAATGGAGTTGTTCGTGTGTGAGCTTCTTTCTGCCTTGTAGTGTTTACCTTTGTCCTCCCATCCATCACCTGCGGGTTTGGCAATCCCTCCCTTTCTGGATGTTGGCATTCTATTTTGCCCTATGTGACATGTGCTGTTCTGCGGCTTTACTTGCAGACCGACTTTCTTGAGCACAGTTCCATTGATGACGTCATTGTGCCATCGATCGTCCTACAAGAGGTACGCATGCTTTGCTGTAGGCGCACTGCGATTCAGAATAGCTGTGACCTTTTGTGTTGATGACTACTGACAACAAGTTGTTATGAATTTTTCGAGTGCTGATAGCAGCGCATTGGATTGTGTGCTAAAATGCGCTACAATCTGGGAGTCTCATGTATTTCATGCTCGCATGGTTGTGAATGATGCACTGCAGCCGGCATTTGCTGACCTCAATGTTGCTGTGATTTTTGACTTGGATATTCCAATTGGCAGTGGATACTACAGAGGTTCTGAAAATGTGAATTGAGATGCAGTTCATTTTCAAAAATGGATCAAATGGAGCTGCCTGTAGTGCATTAACTGCAGATTATCAAAGTTATGTTCGGGGATTGAATGTTGTGTATCCTTGCAGGCATTTCGAGAAACTACACTCTGGTCATTGTGTGTGTCCTTCTAAGTTCAGATGATCTGTCAGCACTAGCTGGCTGGTGGCCTACAAGGACTTGCAGAACTTCTCAACAGGACACCCATGTCCTCAATGTGTTTGAGAGCATCAATAAACAATAGTGTGTTGTTGTGGTCGCTTGCAGGCAAAGTCAAGGAACTTGAGTGCATACCACAGAATCCGTGCACTGGCTGCAGATCCACAGCGTCGATTCTACGTGTTTGCAAATGAAAATCACAGGCAAGTTGCCTTCTGTTATGGTGGATGGTTGAGGTTCAATCTCAAAAGAGACATAGTGTCAATGTATTGATGTCTTTGTGTGCAGCTCCATGAAAAGAACCCGGTCTGGATGTCGCGCAGGATGTCATGCAGGTTGTAGGAGCACCGATGCAAATACGTATTGTGCAGGCAGCAAAGCACTGGCTGTCCATTCAGTCAACTTTGAGTTTGGTTCCTACAGGGACACTTATGTGAAGCAGAAGGATGGAGAGCTAATCAACGACAGAAATGATCGAGCCATAAGGGCGGTGGTGTCATGGTGAGAGTGGAAACTGCCAGCCCCTACATGGCATGCCAGCAAATGGCAGGGCGTGCCATGCGCTTGTAATTGTCTTTGTCACTTTCATGGGTCAGCCCAGTCTCCTGGCTGTGTCTGACAGACATGCCCAGTGTGTGGCCTCTTTGTGACAGTCAAAGTGCGAATTGCATGGAGCAGGGATGGCAATTGTTTGGACTGCTGTCCCTCTGTGGCGCTCACTGCCAGTGTGCTCTGCAGCATTTGGCATGAAACGAACGTTGTATGAAGGGGCAGTGTATCCCTTCCCAAAGGGGTGTCGCCTGGTGCCTCGATTGCTGCCCCAGTATGGTTGGCTCACGGGCTGTGTTGGGGACGCCTCTGTTGGTAGTTGGCAAGGCACCTACACTTTGTCCCTTAACCAACCTGTAGATGCTGGCCATGCCATCAGGGAGCTTTGCCACAAAATGACAAAAGATCAGAGGATAAAACTGCAATTTCCCTGGTTGGAAAAAGGGGAATCCCGAGGCATACCTTGCTTCTGTTTGCAATGGAATGAGGGACAACAATGTGCACAAGCTACTTTCTTTGTAACGAAACCAGGTACAAACAGCTGCTCGGTGACAAGATGCAGGTAATCTTGCTGAGTGGCGATCGAGAGAACCGGCGACTGGCAAGGGAGGAGTGTGGTGCAGAGGCCTGCAGTGTGCAGGAGTATGCGAGAATGCGGACGGATGACAAGGAGCTCTTGGATCTGGCAGCACATTGGGGACAGCAAGGTAAGCTGACTCTCACCCACCTGACCCTAGATACCCCAACATTATGTGCACCTGCAGGTGAGTAGCAGCTTCACAATGCTTACAGTCTGTGCAGAGCCTTCCCAAAACTATGGGATGGGCAACTTTTAGCAGGGGAGAGCCAGGCGCACACGACTTTCATTTCCAACATCTGTTATGGATGCAGGCTGGACAATTTTGGCCCTGTTTAGGGATGAAACTCTAGCTTGCAGGCACATAGTTTGTTTGCTGACACAGGGGCAAGACATGTTGCCATTTGAGCCTCAATGTTATGTGATTGACAGCAACAGCAGCAACAGCAATAAGGCACTTGCACTTACTGATGGGGGTGGCACAAGCCCCATATCTCTTTTGTCAGGATGTAGGTAGCACCAAGATCCCAAAATGCAGAACATAAGTAGAAACCGAACAGTTAATCACTCCCCAGAGGATCGTTGAATATTTGTGACAGGAACATCAGGAGCGAATTCTTTTGTGACGGATGCATGTTTTGCCTCTCTTGTTTTGGAGCCACCAATATTTCAGCAATTGCAGTAGGGAAAATGACAGAATGGGGTCCAGGATTTCGTGAGAAGCAGGGATCCTGAAAGACAAAATGGGGTTCCTCTGCACGGATTTAAATGGCAAGAGGGGGTCCTCTGAGCGCACGCCATATATTAGGTTCGTCACCTGTCTGTCACCGGTCTGGTGCTGGGTGTAGGATGCACTATGGTTGCTCACAGTTCAAACGACAAAAGGGGGTCCTCTGAGGATCTGCAAGAGGGCACAATACACCACCATACACCCTACGCCCGGCACCACATTAGTAGCAGTCTGGTGAAGCAGCTAATGGGTAGTGGGCGATCAGAAGACCCCTTTTGTCATTTTAACCCCTGCAGAAGACCCCCTTTGTCTCGAAATCCTGGAAAGGAGCCTCGCTCATTATGTTGCACACTGAAGTATTTTATGACAGGAAGACACCAGCAGCAAAGACACACATAAAGGGGGTGCATGCTGTACCACGGTTACTGCAATGTTGATCCTGTGAGCAATATACTAAACTGTAAGCACAACAGCATGGCTCTCCAACAGCTGTTTGTATCAATGCACGAGAAATTTTTTTTTCGAAGGTGGAGTTCAACTACCGAACACAACTACTGAACTGATACTATGCCCCTGATGTTCCATTTGTGGCAACGTAAAGGTCACGCGCCACACCAGCGACTTTTAGTACCAACAGAACAATGTGTCCCCTGTGTGGATACTTCTGCAGAGGTATTTTGTGAGGCACAACTTGGTCAGCCATGTTTCTTCCAGTTGCTAACCTGTTTTTTCCAAAGTGTCAAAAAGGTTTAATGTGTGTTGGCACATCTGTTTTGGTTGCAACCATCAAGCCACTGCTCAGGCGAAACCCTTGTATTGGCCAATAGAATTTGACGAGGATGATGAGTCTGAGGGAAAGAGCAAGAAGCGTAGGCGAATTTATGAGGACCACAGGCCATTGTCATCTTTGACTCAAGGCATCAAGAATGGTACACTGCATCAGGGTGTCCTGAACGTGAGCCGCTACTGCTGGCATGAGGGCTTTGTGCCATCCAGCATTGGCCAAGAAATTCGCATTGAAGGTGTCAGCAGGATGAACCGTGCAATGGCAGGTAAGTAGACGATGGACCGCTGCTGCCTCTGAATATAATCGGTGACTTGTGTGCTGATGAAGTCCTTGGATTGCCCGCTCTCAATGGCACATGACAGAACAAAGCCGCTGTGTCTAGCAGGCAATGACAGGCGTTGCAGCATCCACCAACTCTTTGTTTATGCCCTGCCAAAGGCTTGTTCCACCCATTGTCCATTTGCACACAGGTGGCTTGCATGCATCAATTGCATTGCATTGCATTTGTCACACGTGCATGGCAACCAAAGCCCATGTGCCTGCCAGGCAATGACAGGCATAGCAGTGTTCAGCTTGTGTTCTCCTGTACCCCACTGTCCTAGTTGCACACGATGCCTAAAGAGTGCATGCCAACTGCAATTGCTGGTCAGTTGCGCTTGGTGGTTAGTGGTGTGGGTTGCATTTCTTGCCTCTGTGGATGCAAGATCAATGAGAGAGGTAAAGAAACTAGACACAGAGCACACTGTGGCAGAAGCCTGCTGCAGTTGGATTCGATATTGCCATGTCTGTTGTGTAGTTTGTGTCGACTATCATTTGAAAATGAAAGGACCTCTGATGTTGCGAGCAAGGCCGTGAATCGCAAAGTCTCTAAATCATTACCAAATGCAAGTATTCAAGGAGCAGTCAAGTTGAATGCCAGCATTCAATGTTTTGTCCGTTTTCGGTGGTGCTGACATCGGATTGTCTTCGCGATTTTGCTTTGCATTGTCGTACTTTTGTTCCAGCAGGTTTCTGTGTGATCCAGTGCAGTGTGCGAAAGGACCTCAATAGTGTTTCTCAGGAGGGGATGCCTATGACATGGCGTGCTTTCTCCCCTTTCAAGGCCTTTTGGGATTCAGTGGCTTTTTTGGCTTCTCTCAAAGACATTGGTTATATGAGCAGCTTGTGGCAATCTGCAATGGATGGACAGATTGCCCATCATCGCTCAGTAGGTAGAACCTAGGTTTGATCTCCCAACAGTGAATGCACTAAAAGGGGTTGCATGTGCGGTTGTGCAGGTGACGTAGTTGTGGTGGAGATAGTTCCTGACAATGTTGCTAGCCGGAGTGGCAGCCGTCCAGGTGCTGCTGATGGTCCAGATGCTGATGAGGAAGATGATGGTTACGATGTGGGGGACGAAACTACAGGCTTGGAGGCCTCTGCAGTCCATGGGGTAATTATCAGCTTGTGTGTCCCTATGCTCAATCGAATTTGTGGCTTTTTTGTAGCATGTCTCCAATGAGTCTTTGTTGTTTTGATCGAATGTTCAAAACTGTGGGAATTTCAATTGCTATGGATGACAAGGCAAAGCAACAACGATAACAGTCATAGGGTGCTGCAGAACAGGGCGTTTGTCAGTCGCTCACTGGACCCAAACACAAGAAAAGAAGCCCAAACGCACAAAACAAGCCTGCTGAGCGCATTTGCTGTGTTGGCAGAGCACTGTGCATTCAATTGACGATGCAGTGGCTGAGGCCCATGTGACCTGCATTCTGGAGGTTTTTCTCTTTAGTTTAGCTTTGTTGAGTGAGAAACAAGGGCTAACAGTGTATTTGGGCTTGCTGTGCTGCAATTAGACACATGGTTATACTGCAAGAGCCCTCCATACGGACCTGAATTCTGCCTCCATTGTGGATTAGCCTGATTGCCTTTGATGCATTGCCTGTAGCATGTGATTGGCAAGTGGAGGTGGTGTGGTGGGACCTTAGAGAGTGCTTGGTGTGCCCCCTTTGGGTGAGTGGCTGCACGGCACACTGCTGTGTTGTAATGCTGTGTTTGGCTTGTAGAGGCAGCAATGCACTGTCTTATGCATAGTTGTTTCATTTGTTGTCCTCAGGTTGACGATGCGATCTGCCTGCAAGGGCCTCAAGATGACGATTCATCAACAAAGCCGCCGTCTGGCCAGGTGGTAGGCATCATAAAACGCGCTTGGCGAACTCGGGGCTACTGTGGGACGATCATGCCGCCGCGCGACGGCAAGGACTTCGTGCCTGGGCGCGCCAGGTGTGTGCTCACAGGGCGACTAGCGACACTTTGCACTTGCTGCAAGTAGCTTGTCAACGGTTGTCATTTGTAATGGAACGCCGGCCGCGGGCTGCTGCATGAAGACATGGGAAAGAAGCCGTGGTGGGGTCTTGAGAGTTTTCGTTACAGCAAGCAACAAATTTCTGTTTACCATACGATTTCTGATCTGTATGGCCTCCCCGTTAAGTGCTAAATTCGTTGTCGTTCAGATTGCCATGCACCGTATATCATCAGTCTTTGCGCTTTACACTGCTCTGCACTTTCTTGCGAGGAGGCCCAAGGCCTGTATGTCCGTTGTTTGGATTGCAGTGGTACCAAGAGTCAAATTCGATTTGTGCGGCATTTCAGATCTAAGGAAATGGTGTCATGTTGGCGCGTCCCTGCTGTGTGCGCACTGACAGTACTTTGAACCTTTCGCGGTGGAATGGGAACGATACAAATGGGTGACTATATTTGTTTGTGCCCCCTGTGCGGTCCAACAGACGGAAGGACAGCGCCTTGTCATGCTCTGGCAATTGTGTTCAAATCAGAGTATCGTTTCTATCCATTGACAGAGGGATCACATGAAGCACAGGGAACTTTGCACATAAAGATTATTCTTTCTGCACCAATTTAAATTGCCTGAATTGTCTGCACTCCCCAGGTGGGTCAGATTTCGTCCAAAGGACCGCCGATTCCCGCACATGATGATGCGCACTGCGCAGGCCGACCAGCTGCTTGGCAAGAACATTGTTGCAGTGGTTGAAGAGTGGCAGTCGCACAGGCGACTGCCCGACTGCCGGTATGTGAGGACGATCGGGACCGTGGGAGACACAGAGGCTGAGACGGTGAGATGTGTTTTGCATTCGATTTGTCTTTCTTTGTATAGTAAAATTTTTGCTTTTTATTGTTTGTGTTTCTTTTGTTGCCCGTTGGCCTCCGGTTGGGCGAACAGCTGGTGCCTTCGGGGACAAGATGGTCTGACTTGCGGACACGTTTGGAAAAGTACATCATAATTGTATTCAAGTGATGTTTGGCATACTACACCTCCATATGTCGTTTTTGATACCAGAGGCAACAAGTTTGTCGAGCTGCCTGCCAATGTTTACCGTAGTATATTCAACCCTTTCGCATCATAAGGAAAGACACTATGTCCTTTTTGTTACGCTTGGCATCCATTTGACATTATGTTGTTGGGGTTGGGGTTGGGGGGTTCCAGACCTGTGACGCTAAGAGATGATGTGATTGCAACAAAATCGACATAAGGTGGAAAGATGACTGAAAACGCTGCTGATCAGCGGCAAAACTCTCGTGACTTGTTCCTAAACCTCCCTGAGATGTTTAGTCTTCAAGGGAGTGCTTAGGATGTGTCAATTTATAGCCATTGAGGTTGCCGGGCTTGCCTATAATGACATTTGTAATCCCATTTTCAGCCCACCAAAATTTGTACGACTCTGAGCGTTTTCTCTTTTCAAAACCAGCTAGAAATTGTAAGCCACTGCTAGGCAATGTTGTTGAGTCATCCTGGCTTCGACATAAGGATTGACGCTGAAGGGCCGGGGGGAAGGTCTGAGCTTAACGTCAAATTGACGCTAAGCGTAACAAAATCGACATAGCACCTTCCCTAACATAACGCTGGGCCTTTTTTGCGTAGTAAACAATAAAATAAATAACGCTCTTTTATAAAAAGTTTTGTGGAACAACGCAAAATAAACAAAAATAATGCTCTGAAAAACTGTGCAGAGCAAAATGCGTAAATGATCAAGTTGACTGATATGGAAAGGTTGAATATACTGCGGTAAATTCTTGTGCTGGTGGCGGATCTGCCTGCCAGGCTTTCGTGTGAGATCAATGGCCTCCTGTTCACTCTTGCCAGAAGCTCAAGGGGCTTTGCCTCCGCATTTCCTGACATCTTTGCTTTTGTCCGCCATCTTCTCGTGAATACAAAGGCAGCGATATGCCCATGCAATGATAAGTGTAGTTGGGTAAGGCCATGTACTCGTTCATGTAGATCTGCAATTGTGTGCTGTTGCCACACAGTGAGAGAACAATGAGCGCAAGCCAGAGTGCACATGTTGCTTGGACATGTGCCAATAAACCACACAGTTTCAGATGGTTCCCATCCACACCAGTGTAATGGCAACCTGCTGTCACACAGCTGCCTGTGCCACTTTGCAAATCTGAGTGCTGGCAATCTTCATGCTAACGTTCGTCAGCATCATCGTTGGTTGCAATTCTCTAAGTGGCCGATGGGTTAGTACGGTTGTTTGGCATTTCAAGTGACACAAGGAGGACTCGATTTGTAAGTCTATATCTCTCTGTCTCTTAGCACTTGTACTTGCTTTCTTGCTGTGTATTGTGATCTGGGTGCTTGACTCCCTGAAGACAGAGAGCAGACATTTGCGCAAACACACTGCTGGAGTCGAAGCACATGTGCTGTCTGTTGTAGTTGCCCTGCAACGTGATAGACGCAAAGCAGCCACTGCAGTGCCACAGGTGGCTTCAGTTGTGCAATTCAACGCAAGCGCAAGTTCGCCTACATTTGGGAATTTTGCAACATAAAAGGCATGTCACAGTGGTCTTCAACTTGGGACTTGCACCAGACTTCGATTCTGCACCAGACTTCGATTCTGCAGAGCGAACTCAAACTGACCTCCACGAGTTCATTGAATCATCAGTTTCAAGTAAAACATTGACTTCACAATCGAATCAGTAGTACAAGCATAAAGTTCAAAGTGATGTTCTAAGCTCACGGCCTGTGAGTGAATTGCCCATGTGCCAGGATGTGCTCCTGATGGAGAATGATATTGCCACATCGCCCTTCACGCCTGAGGTCCTGGCCTGCCTGCCTCCCTTGCCATGGGACGTGGGGCCTGCGGATGTTGCCGATCCCCACCGCAGGGACTTGCGCCACCTTTGTGTCTGCAGCGTGGACCCCCCTGGTTGTAAAGACATCGACGATGCACTACATGTTCGTCTCCTCCCAAACGGCAACTATGAGCTGGGGGTGCACATCGCAGATGTCACGCATTTTGTGAAGCCAGGTTTGTCTCGATGATACATGCAATGCATTTCATACCCTTTGTGCAAAGAGGTTGTTTCAGTTATGTGACGTGCTTCATCCAGCCTGAAGGGTGTTGTGTCCATGGAAGCCAGCAAGTGGGGCACAAGGTTAGGCCGAAATTCCGTTGCCCTTGCCTACCCAAGGAGAGAAGGAAGATGGCACACTGACGGCCTCATGGCCTGAAGCCAGGCCTGTCGAAATGGATAACTTGTCAATTGGAGCGTTTTTATTGCAGGAGAATGGCTTGTTGTGGATGGGGCAATTTGAATGCAATTGGTGCTGAACACTGAGGCGGCACCAACTTTATGCAAACTGAATACCCCTGAGATTTGGTGGCTAACGCATTCAGAGGTCGGCTGTGCCAATGCTGCAACTTTGAGGTGCTGCGATCCCTGCCATTAACGACACTATGCTGACAGGCTTACTGTGGCAGTGTCAACTTGCTGAAGAGGTTCTTCTTTGTTAGATTGTGCTCCTTTGGTAATTGGGCCTCGCAACAGGCCCGAACAGGGTTGTCCACTGAATGCAAAAAAGGCCAGGGCCCACTGGCTTGCCGGTCAAGTCTTTACCTTCTCAAGGTGATGAACAATGACACACTTGTCGTAGTGTCTTCCAAAAAGTTAGGATGATCATACACCATCAGTTTGCTAGCGGTCTACAAGGACCTCACATTGCTTGCCAAACTGATGCAGAGGTGCCCACCAGCACATGAATGAATCACACACCCTAACTAAGACGTTGCCAGCCACATCCAGCGTCATTTTTCTTGTCTCATTATCAGAATGCAATGCAGTGTGACGTTGGTCTACTTGCTTCCAGAGACTGCGCTGGATACAGAGGCCGCACAAAGGGGCACCACCGTGTACCTGGTTCAAAGGAGGATTGACATGCTGCCAAAGGCGCTTACTGAGGACATATGCAGCTTGCGTGGCAACGTGGACAGGCTGGCGTTCAGCGTGCTTTGGGAGGCGACGCTTGAAGGGGATGTGCTCCACGACAAGACCACATTTACAAAGAGCATTATCAGGCAAGGGAAAGGAGACCAGGGTGGGTCTTGGGGAGAGGTGAACAGTAACGTACGTTAGATGTTTAATCTCTTCAACAGAGTATGTTGGTGCCTTCCAAGAGACATTTGCGCCAGTGCCTTACATACATGTTACTCTCTTCTGTTGAATGCTTTTTGTTGAGCGAATTTTCGCTTCTTAGTGTAATTTGCTGTATTTTGTGTAGCAGGCTTGGAGTGCTGATTTCCAGCTTGTTGCGCGCCGCAGCACTGCCTTGATTATCTTTTGGGTAGCGGTTTCTTCTTTACCTTTTGTTCAAAAAGTTCCTTGGGATCAATGGAATTGGACTGGGCTTTGAAAGCGAATCTCACTTTGTCGCTGGTGATGTCCTGCCTGAAGGAGCCGGGCTGCACTGACTTATGAAGAGGCACAAACGCGGATCGATGACGATCGCCTGACGGACGACGTTTCCATGAGCCTCAAGGCTCTGGCTCGATTTGGACAAATATTGCGCAAGAGGCGGATGGAGAAGGGCGCCCTGGAGCTGGCAAGTCCCGAGGTGAAGCTGTCAATCGACACTGAGAGTCTGAACCCGACGGACATCGGGCTGTCTCAGGTAAGAAGTGGTCATGACGCTTTCAAGCGCGTCTCTTGGCAATTATCAGCATGAGGATGACATTGGCTGTGGAGCTACGGAGGCTATTGCAATGTCGTGATTTCCGTTCCGCATGTTACCTTTCCGCTCGTTCAACACTGCACATATGCTGCACATGTGGGCAGCAACCTGTTGTTGTGCTCATTGCTGCAACACGCGCTTGAAGGAAGCACGCATGCATATGAATTTGTGTCACGCCACGTGAGGTGGCATGCAGTGGTTCCCCACAGTCCCAGTGACCCAAACCGCGAAGCACCGTGCCAGCAGATTAGCCACAAGCAGGTGCCATTTGTGTGCATTGTGCAGCACAACCGACCATACAGATGGCCCACATTTCGTTCAGAGGTTGACTGGCATGTGGAATTCCGCCCGCGCGAGCAGCGCCACATGTGCTACTGTGTGTGTAAAGTGTTTATGGATCACACTGGGATCCAAATGTTCATGACTCATGCCTTCGTGCGCAGTCGCTGTGGTGACCTCTCCACCGTTCCTCTTTGGCGGCATTCCGTGGGCCGAGGAATTTCTGTTTGCTGCTTTCTGCCTCCTTATCAGTTTGCTTTTTCGTTTCCTGATCTGTACACGCCCAGCGCATTGTAGATATCAGTTGAATATTGCTTATTCGTTATTGGTGTTGAACCTCTGTATTCTGAAGAACGATAACAAAAACAACAACAAGAACGCATTCACTGACTCTGTTCAGGCTGCTGTGGAACTCTGCATCAGTGGCTGCAGAGCGCGAGAAAGTGCATCCAGTTGATGAATTGTATGCTTGTGACTATTGGAATTGCATGTCGCAAATCCTTACACGGCTTGCGACAATTCAACGCCTCCCTGACGGCACCTCGTCCTCACGTGGCCCGTGTGTCAAGGTCCGGCTGGCCAACAAGATGGTGGAGGAGATGATGCTCCTCGCGAACAGCACCGTGGCGGAAAAGATCCTGAGTCGCTTTCCCTCCAGCGCCTGCCTGAGGCGTCACCCTGCGGCCCCCAGATCCAAGTACGAGCCCCTGCTGAAGGCCCTTGAGCCCCACGGCGTCAGCCTTGACGTGACATCAAACAAGCGCCTTGCCGAGACGCTGGACGGGGCTGTGCTGCCAGGCGATCCGTTTTTCAACACTATCGTTCGAATGATGGCCACACGGTGCATGAACGAGGTGAGCTCACTTGTTGTGGTGCTGGTAACTTGGTACACGCTATGTGCACAATTGGCTACGTGACCACATTCACCACCCCAAAGGTGTGCGACGGGCTGTGACAGTTGCAGTTGCCCATCGCCGATAAACCACCAAATGACCAGGTGACCGCCTTTCTCCAGGAATGAATTAGGATGAATTACGTACTAGCGTTCCTCGTTTCGTGGGTACTGGACCGATTGGTTCGATCAGTCGGGGATTGGCGGCGGCGGGAGGCGAGAGCACAGGGAAGCAAATTTTGGCCTTGGCGGGGGAGTTGCTCGGGGGTGCTTCAGCTTGGGCATATGGCTAATGCAGAATGGAGGCGCAAGGGAGCGGAACCTTCGTTTGCTGAAATTGCTGCTGCATGGCGAAGACGGTGTCCCAGCGCGGTTTTGGCACACCACCTGCCCATTTCGCGCGTTTGTTATCCGTGTTCAAACCGTTCTAAACCTGCTGAGACCTTGCACCGCTGGCGCCCAACTGTCCTTGGTTTAAACAGCAGTCAAGGCCTGTCGCAAGGGCTGTGCTGTGTGTTTGTATGACCAGTGTTATCCAAGGAGCTGGTGATGCGATTACCAAGGACGGAACGAAACCGTGCGGGTGCTTGGCCTTACGCTTGCCTATGTGATATCTTGACGCCTGCAGGCTCAGTATTTCGGGGCCGCTCAGTACTCGCGGTCTGAATATTACCACTTCGGCCTGGCGATGGACCTGTACACCCACTTCACGTCGCCCATCCGGCGCTATGCCGACTGCCTCGTGCACCGCTTCCTGGCGGCCTCCATGGACCAGGAGGTGCTGCCCGCCTCCGCCCACGATGTGGACACCGTCAAGGGCGTTACCGACAACCTGAACGTCCGTCACCGTAACGCCCAATTTGCGGGCAGGGCCTCCGTGACCCTCTTCACGTTGATCTACTTCAAGTGAGTTGAATGGAGTGGGTGCTGACCATTCGCGCGGTGCCCTGTTTTTGCACATGCTCTCATGGCAATTGATCCGTGACAGTACTGGTTTTCTTCGGTCTAGCGCATGGTAGGCTATACGTACGTGAGTGGCGGGCTGCCCATTTGCTGCTGCCGAGTCGCTCCTGCCCGCATCAATAGACTATTTGCGACAGAGGGGGGAAGTGCTGTCCACAGCTTGCAAAAATTCAACGCCGTGTTGTTGCAAAGAACTACAAGCTGCCGCGGCGATTAAGGCTGGAATGCCGAAGGCTGTTGGGCATAGTTGTCCCTGTGACGATTGTGGCTTGTGTGTGATTGCACATCGCGTCATGGCGGTGGCTGAAAGTTGGCCCTAAGCCCTGGCTCTTGCCACAACAATATGGGAATATGGCGTTGTTGGTGCACTCGCAGCCTTTCATGTCCTCACGTGTGCTTGAACATGTGGGTCAACGTCAGCGAACGTAGTCGAAGGGATAGCGCCTCACACAGATGCCCATACTGCGTACCATCGCCCTGGATTGCAGCACTTGGCTTGCCAGTAAGGACAACGGGCATTCCATGCCTTGGACTGCATGCTTGGGGATCTTTGTTGCTGGAAAAGGTACTCATTCGAACAATCTGAAACTCTTCGAATTTGAAAGCAAGTCCGATGAAAGATTTAACAAGAATTTAGCAGGAAATTAAAGCAATTTTGCAAGAAGTCAGTGTTTGCTAGGAAATTCAAACAGTCTCCTGTTGTTCGAATTTCTAGGATAATACTGTACGCAAACGATCGCCATGCTCACGGTGGTCTCCCTTGCTCCAGGCAAAAAGGCACAGTCACAGAGGCGGCGAGGGTGGTTGGGCTGCGCAAGAAGAGCGTCATCGTCTTCGTCCCAAAGTACGGCATAGAGGGAATGGTGGGGCGCATCCTGAGCGGTGGCGAAGAGGCCGCCAAGTGGGACTACGTCATGAACAAGTCGGGCAACGGGGTCGTCTCACAGAGCGGCAAGCGTTCGCTCAAGGTGTTCGACAGCGTAACTGTTCGGATAGAGGTCAAAACCACGCAAGGATATGAGGAGGAGGTGATCATGTCCCTGGTTGATGAGGATGCGGCGCAGAGCGCCGACGCCGACATGGACACCGCAGACGCAATGGACGAAACCTGAGTCGCTGCGCATTGTCCTGGAACTTGTTCGCAAAGAGGGTGGGTGGTTGGGCGGGGTGGGGTTGCGGGTTGAGAGGGGGGGTGGGCAAGTTCTTGAGTTTATCCCAGCACTGGGGTTTGCAGCACCACTGGCAAGCAGTTGAGGGAAATCCAGGATTTGCGTCTGATTGCGAAGATGCAATTCTATGGGGGAGGCGGATATGCCTGTCGCGGCTGGTGGCGCCTCCTGACCCGTTGATGATGTTGATCCTCTATGTCAGGCTAGTAGGGCCCTGAGCACAGGTATGGCAAGCTTGTGCACTTACGTAGGGGCTTCAGGTTTTGTGCAGGATGCTCGTTGCGATTCACTTTTGGGATTTGACATTCTGGTCGGACAGCGCACTCGGCCGCATCCAACTCTCGTGGATTGACGTCTGGAGTCTGCAATGGCGCTGAGCAGTTGCCTGTGCTGCACATTGGTACTACTGTACTTACCCGGTATTAGTAGGCGTGTATTGGAACCCGCAAATGAGCGGTGGATACTAGTAGTGGGTCATGGATACTAACGCAGTTTGGACCCCTGATCCAAGGAGTGGACAGAAGACCGAGATCAACACTGCCGTATCGACCAATTGGACGCTGAAGATGCAGACGCTGGCAACGGCCATTGCCCTCTGCCGGCAATGCTGCTCGTGCTGTCAACAGATGCGCCGTCCAGGCAGGTGCAGCACGCAAATAAAATCGCGTTTCGCACCACTGCAATGCAAGTAGTTCAATGTGAGTGCAGTTTTCATGCGAACTGCAACCGAGCCCCATCATCAGGGGATCCCAGGAGGTACAGCAGGCCACAGGCGGCGCCGTCACCTCTGTCCGGGACAGCATGGCTCGCCAGCGGTAAGCGCCAGACCGCATCGCTTCTCTAGCCACCCCAGGCTCCCGAAAGCCAGCCAGCCTTCACTCCGCGGCCTGTTCAGAAGCGTCCTGTGGGGCGGGCGGTGAAACGCACTCTTCCTTTGAACCATCTTCGTCTGTGGTAGGGGCCGCCTTCTTCGGATTGAGGGGATGGCATAAGATGGCGTGCGTGTTGTCCTGGAGAGACACAGCAACCGGCGGTCAGCGATTCGTTGCGCCAGCAGCTTTGGACGCCAGAAACTCATTTACCTCGGAATTTGCCATCCCAAAGGGAAAGAAAATCCACGTGGGATCCTCAGGGCTGCCACAGTAAGCACATCTGCAGCTCTCAATGTCACAGTACAGTGATTCATCGGTTGATTAGTGGATCATCACCGCAACAAGCACATCAGCTGCCGCTCTAAGTCGCAGTACTGTGGTTCATCGGTCGGTTAGTGGACTGCTGATTGACATTTTGACTGCCCGATCAATGAGCGCCCGTACCTTCATTTGGAATTCCGGATGCCTGCACAGCAGCGGGGTGTTGATGTTGATGGTGTATTTGCATGTCGGCCCCTCCGTGATCGTCGTGATTGACGTCGTGCTGACGGAGGTACGTTCCTCACAAAAATAGCGAACCTGGCATATGAAACACCCCCCAATGTCAGCGATACGGCCACAAGTACCCCGTTCCTGCAAACCCAACGCTTGCGCCGTTACACCATTCTGTATTTTGTACACAGAGAACAGCATTTCGGATGTGGTGAAATTCTTTGGATCAAAACTCAGACTTGGAGGTGTATGTGCTTCGCTGCACACCAAGTGCAGCCGAGCATCGCCACGGCCATGTCCATGCCAACATCTGCAACGCTCAGCATTCTCAGCATCGCAAATGCAGCAAACGTGTTTGGCTTGTCTGCTGGCCAGCCATATCTACCGGTGCAAGCAGCCACTCATGCGGCAGCCCACCGCACACTCACTTCTGTTTCCCTTGGGGATTGCGTTTCCTCACAAATGTCGCCACTCACATATCGATGGCTGACGTAGCGGTTATTCTTGCTTGTCGCACTTTCATCAACCTGCCAAGTGGCAATATCGCTGTGTTCAGGTCATCAGATAGCAGAAAGCACACGATGCAACGATTGACCAAGCGATCTCCGTACTGAGAAGAGACAAGGCTAGCGTGTGTTCCATTTGACCATACAATGTATGCGGTCGCATGCAATTGCTATTGTGTGTCTCACGCTGATGTCCAGATTTCTACCCTGCGAAGCGTAAATTGGCTAAGCGCGACCCCAGCCATAAGCGCTGAACGGACTGGCCATATGCAACAAACAATGTGCCAGATCAGTACTGCTCGCTTCTATAGTTACTAAGGAAACTGACTTTATTGCATGAGTACTGCTCCATTCACGATGCAGCTATCAACACCCACCAGTGCTTCGAGTACAACCTTCAGGGCAGCAAGCGACGATCTATAGCCCAAACAGTATAAAAGAGACCGTACAAGAAAGCCCCTGTACGCAGTTTGCAAGCATGTGGGCTATCAGGGGCAAAGAGAGCAAGAGACAATTATAGGCCTCTTCTCAGCTTAGCACTTGTCCACGCAAAATCACCATCAGTGGAGATTTTCACGACGAGGACAGTTGTGACAAGAAAAACAATTGTGTTTCGTCATTTTCTTGAGGTGGGCGATAGGATGGCGGGGCTGGGCTAGTGCATTACCATGGGCGCCCACCTTCACTTCCCTGTCACTCCGTGTCTCCCCATCGAATTTGCCCAGCAGAAATTCCATGCCCGCTGAATCATCCTCCTGTGCGCAGGCGTTGCCAGCTTCAAGGCGTTGCGATTCACCAATACGCTGGAACAACAGCGATGCCCAGGAGCGCCCCTTGGCAACTGGGTGCGCGTTGGTGCGAACGCGGCACTCACACAATCCAGTCCAGGCATGTGAGGCAGGCCTTTCCACTTGTTTGCTTCCTTGATTAGCCACTAGATTTATTGCAGTACAATGGATAGAAGCAGCTACAGCACCCTGTGGCTTCACTGTTCTCTGTATTCACTGCATGCTGGGAGATGAAGAACATGCCGAACATTTGTTATTCGTGATGGTGCAACTCCAGCTGGGGATGATTTTGAGCCACTCTCGATCACAGTTGAAGGTGGTGATTTGTGCCTTTTTAACGGAGGAGCGCCACATTTTAGCCGACGAGAAAAGTAGCGTCAGAATCATTTCATGCCCTTCCTCCCAAGGTTTGCACACCTCATGAAGGCACAGGGAGCTCTGTACTCGTAATGACATGCATGTACTGCAATACGTCCCCAATGATGCGACGGCCATCTGGAATTCACATGCACAAAAGATAGGCATACTATAAATCACGTAATTCAGTCGATGCTCAATTGTGTTACGCTGGTAAGAATCGTGCTTTGGTGGTTTGAACTGAGTACAAATTGGAGGGAATCGTGTAAACTCAAATATGTTTTGGTCTCATTCTTGACAGTTGGGAACCCACCTGATGGAATTGCCTCACATAGTGCTGATAACACACCTCGTATGCCCACCATTGCTCCTGAAGGAGGATGCACTTGCCAGCTTCAAAAGCCAATGCAGGGCACCCACCAGCACGTCAATGATTCTTACATATGCAAGCAGTGGGCCACTCAATGGGGAACCCATACTGAGCATAACGCTGCTGAGTAATTGTGCCATAGTACTATGATTTCACAAAGATGCTTTGTAGAATTTCTCTTGCCATGCCTGACGGGTAAGGAAACTGGGAGTACAGCAACCTCGTGAGGTGGAGCAACAAATGAACAAATCTCTGATGCATGAATCATGCTTGGTCAATGCAACCTGTGCTCTTGCACACTCAAGAACTGCCAATGGGCACCGCAGAAAGGCTAGCAGAAAGGAAAGGAAATTTGTGCCATTGAAGAATGCACAGCCAGGACCATGGATTCTGCAAAATCTGTAAATCAAGGCATACTGGGCAATGGTTGCAAGTTATGACGTGCACAAAGAACATCTTCTTCCCTTGCTGAAATGAACCAGACAGAATGAAGCAGCGCTCTGTGCCAGATGCCCATTTGAACAAAGGACTTCACAATAGCAGTTGTGTGCACCTAGGGGCTCCAGGTACTCCAGTGGGTTGTCAGCTTGTCTGGACTTGTCATCATTCTGTTGGAAAAGAAACATCATTCAGCATTGCAGGCAGAATACTGGACAAACGTGCTCCTGCTCAAGTTGCTAAATTACCAGACTGAAGGTTGGCACGTAGTGCCTGAAGGGCATTTCGAGCTCCTCCTGTGCTGTGAGCAGAACCATACCCAAGACCTGTCTTTTGATTTATCCAATCCTCCTCAAATAGTCCAGTTGCTAAATGGACATGGTTGTACTTGAATCTGTAAATGCAGTAGACCAACAAGCCCAACACTGCTGTCCAAAAAGCCAAGAACACAATACCTTGCCGCCACAATCTGTTGTCTTCACCACTGTGGCAATTTGCCAGGGAAATACATTTGGAGCTGATGCAGAAACGAACCACCACTGCACCAAAGAAATGAGCCCATCCCATCTCTGTCCTGCAGCTAGTTTTGCAATGTGCTGTCCAACCATTTTTACTGGCTGACCTCCTCCCTACTGATCTGCTGCTAGATCCTAGCCCCAGCTCATTTGTGACCAATGAATGCCAAGGACATGCAGCAGATCGTCGGCTGGCACGATGCAGGCACTGGGCACCATCCTTCACCTGCCCCTCATCTGAATTCGAAGCATCTGTTGAGCTGTTTGCTACCACCGGTATGGCACAAACATACTGAACTCCATCTGCCCCTGTCATTATTGTCGTCCTGTGGTCGCCTTTGGGTGTGGGCACCGCTTCCCCTGCAGTCAAATGCACAGGCTGCAAATTCTCGATCGACTCAACACGTGCTAAAGAACATGCCACACAGAAAAATGCCACATGCCACACTTTCTGGCAGCTAATTGCTCTCTGCTGCTGCCCAACGTGCTGCAGCCGCTGTCCAGGGTTTGGGATGATTGACTACAAGCATCCACGTTGTTGTTGAAAGGAGCAGAGGAAGGCAAACAGAACAGATTGCCTAAAGCAAACAAAACACGTAGTCCTATGGCCAGCATATGGACTGAATCATGGAAATGGGGCCAAGGATACGGAACCGGCGTCGGAAAGAGTCTGAGTGCGGAGGAACGGGCTTGGATGTGTTGAGTGCTGTGCACCAGACACCTCGAACAAGGAAGACACCTCGACAAAACACGAGTTTTGAGGCAGTGGAATTGCTGACACCGAATGCCGCCCGTGCACGTCACAATCATGCCAGCAAGTCGATGCTGCAAGAGCAGTTCGCCAGACCGCCTGCACAGAGGAATCCGCAACAGCTTTGGCTTCCCTTCTCACCCGTGCTGATTGCAACAATGTACTTCTCTTCATCTTCGCCGTTTGGGAGAGCATCTGGCAGGCCGGAAATCAAAGCACACCATCCAATCAATCGCCACCTATCTGGCCGCCATGACCTGCCATCAGCCCGCGCAGCGGGGACAACGGCATCCCGCAAGACAAAAACGTCCAAGGCGCGAAGTTCAACGGCAGAAGGAAAGCCAATCCATTCGTCGCAACAGCACATGAGAGCAAGGGCACGCGGGAGGGGGGGAGCGCATGGTCCCTGCATTTGGCGACAATCACGCAGCACGGACTCGTGGATGCTTGCACAGAACAGGCGCCAACCCCGCGCCACGGCTGTCCATACGCGTCGATCCCTAGCGTACATAAACACGCCCAGTGCCCCACCCAAAGCACTCTTAAGCGCGTGGGCACTGGCCAACAACGTCACGGCCAACAGGAGGGGGGGCCCAAGCTTAAGAAAGTGTCGCCGCCCTTTGCCCGCTGCCTGGAGGTAGTCCATCAGCAAGCCTGTCTTCCAGAACTGCCATTGCATTCTTCTCATATGGCCAGACCCGGCCGTTTCTTGTTCTCGTGTTTTTTCGTTGTTCTTTTTTTTGGGGGGTAAGATTGTGAAACTGCCTGTTCGTTATTTTGTTTCTATTTGCCGTCTTTATCTATTTTTGTTCATTCTATTTTTTGTGAAGGGGCCAGATCGCGAAACTTCACAGGAGGCCCGCGATTGCACATGTGCCTTAGCAGCAGGCGTCGAAGCGCCACTCACATTGTCACCCGTGCTTCCAAATACTGCACTAACGCAAGTATCCAAGCACCGCTTGTCTGTGAGCTCCTCCGCTCGCGCTCACAGCGCTGCAGCACGTGCCAATGCTTGTCCTCTCGACTCATAGAGGACGACGGGGTGGGAGACGAAACGCCACGGCGACTGAACACTCAAGCAAGCAGACGGGGTAGCAGCAAAGCGGCGTGCCGTTTGTTTCCTCAACGCGGCGCTGTTGCGCGCAGACGTTGGTGCTGCCTTTGGGAAGCGGAATATGGTCGTTCACCAATCGAATCTTACCAAATCACCGTGCCCTCGTCCCGCGTGCAGGCCCAACGTCCCTTTTATTGTAATATCACTGCTCTGCGCTACAGCAAACGACCGCCAGTGTCCCCTCCAAGCGTTCTACGCTCAGAAAGAAAAACAAAGGGACATATCTAGGGGTATTCCTGGCTTAATTCCAATCAAATCATGTGCCACATGAGCGCCAAAGCTTCCTCTTATGCCGTAGATTAAACTCCATGATGACCAACATCAAAGTGTTGAGGGGATTCATATTGCCGTTCTAAGGATGGCCCCCACTCTTGCTATTGGAAATTCACAACCATGCTTATTGATAGTATGGGTTTGTTTCGAAAACAAACCAACTCTACCCAATTAGCATGGTTATTGGCATCGTACACAGTGGTTGTCACGCGTTTCGAATATTATGCAAGCTAATCATTCATTGTCTTTCGGCTAATCAGGAAACACAGCACAATTGTGACCATGTGCAGATGACGTCGTTCAAGACGTCCTTTCAATGCATTTTGCATCAGTTTCTTTCGTGTAACCAAGAACTTCCATGAACGACTGTAAATCAACGAAAATTTTCTCTTTTTACATTGTCTTGGAGTTTCATGGAATTCCACCCACGATTGCCCACTTTGTGCGTCCATTAGTTCACTGCAATGATACACTGTCACTACTATCCATCATTTAAATGCACTCCAGCACATGGTCTCCATTCACACACATGCTTGCGTTGGGCTCCTCTTCGGGTCCCCGATAAATGGAACCAATCTAACATAATGATTGACAGTCAATTTTTCTACGTACTGCCACTAATTAGCTTATAAGCTGCGCCCCGGGAGGCCAGAATGTGGTCTAGAATTCAGCGGATAGACCATGGCAGACTGGAGTGCAACATTGAGGATCAGATCATCAACAGCAAGGAACATTGAACATGATTAGCCGCCATTCAAGCCATGTCCAGAGCAGCAAAATGTGCATGCAGCTGTGGGCATGCACTGCTTCAGCGCACTGAACTCAGACTTCGACTGCGACTCAAGGATATGATGCTCAGCTCGTCCACCAGGAAATGAGGTAAGATGTCGGCTTGCTGCATGGTTGGTTCCTCAATTACAGCTGCGAGGAAGTCCGTATGAATTGGCAAGGGTCTCAAAGTTAGAATGATGTGAAAACGGTTCGAGATGGATTGCATAGATGTGTGATGTCGAGTCTTTTCTATTTTAACATTTGATGGTTTTGATATTATTCTAGTCACACTTGACATCCAGAATGGCGATATGACCCGTTTGCCGAACGAACATCAGAAGTGGTATTTGTTTTGCCAAGTGCTGACATGGATAGAATGGTCGTGGGCACGCTGGTTGACATACGCATTTGTGTGAAGTGCGGCAGTCTTTCAATCGAATCTGATGACCGAAGGGCAAAGGGCTCACGTGGCATATCTTTCTGTAGCCTAGGATCCGTGCTGTGTGGTGTTAATGTAATCCTTGCATCAGGATTGAGTTAGCGGCTGGTGATATCTTACAATTATGGGACCCCATTTCGGGGATAGGACGGCCTGGGAGGGAATCGTATGTGAACTCCCAAAATTGATGTCACGTTTTTAAGGATCAGAATAGATTCGATGCGCTGACGTGCACGAGGTTTCGAGTTATACAGGGGCTATTTTGGGTGGCTGCCGCGACATGTGCTGCGCCACGAGGTCGCGCTGCCAGTTTTGGGAGGGGATGCAACGGAACGAGCAACAGTTTGTGGAGCTGTAAGCGCCTTGCTGGTTTTCTCTGCGTGTGTGGCCTTTGCATACAGGTCGCGGCGTGTAGCTCGACCAGTTTGGCTTCAAAGGCAGCGGTTTTCGGTCCCAAACGTTCGGGCTTCGGCGTGGAGCGCCCATGGCATGCTCATCGTTCGGGGTGGTTGGGTTTCCGGGTGAATCTGTGAGAATGGCTGCGGTGTCTGTCAGCGTCTCTGTCCATGTTCTTTTGGACTGCATGCGCCTGGACATGCATGGCCAGTGGGTAGGTTTGCCCGTGTTTCTGTGGCCGATTTGTCAGCAACATGCATGCACAGCGACCCAGTCTCACCGCCTTTTGTCATTCTCTTCAACCGCTCTGGGGTAGGGGACAGGCGAATCTTTTACAGAATTCCACTGTGCTATCCGGAGGATTTGGCCATGTTTCGGCCACGATCTTTACAGCCCCTTTTTAGCTCTTCCCTTTTCGCTTTTAGGACCCCTCTGTTCACTGCAATTATGACTCCCAACGCCCTAATAAGCATACACAACCACCTGCCCACTTCCTTGCCGCTCGCACTAGGAAAAAAAGGGCCAAACAGCACGTGTTCAAACGTGCACAAAGTTTACGGGGTTTGTATTATTTTGTGTTCTTAGCGCGCACAACTTTGATGAAATGTGTTTTATGTGTGTTCGCAAAAGTGTTATTTTGTCCTTTTTTACTAGTGTCGCCCATAGACAGCAAATGCGCTCGGCAGGGCTGCGGGAAGCCGACATGCGCCACGGGCATATTTCCATGACCGCCCCCCTCCCCAACCCCAAATCCCCCATTTCCCGCCCCAGTCGGGCACCTTCCCCACTCCTTCCCCCCGCCTTCCCCCGGCATCCCGGCAGCGCCCACGCCCGACGGCACAAATGCGACACCCCTCACAGCCCGCCACCGTCCCCACAGCACTCAGAGCGTCCAGAAACGCCCTGGCGGGGTGTCCACATACGCAGCCTCCCCGCCGGGCCCCCACACGCCCCCCGGGCCCTTCGCGCGTCTCCACTGCGCCCCGCCCGCAACAAACGTCCTCGGCGCAGGCCCCGCGCCTGCTTGCGTGGCCAACATCGTGATGGGCTTCGGGACAGGTAGTCAATAAATCCACGTTCACGCACATGGCGCCGCCGCTCGCGTGCAAACACTGGCCCTAACCGAGCACCACGTTGGGGATTTGGATTGACTGGACGCGCATTCAGGCGAGCCTCGTGCGGGGTTTTCTGCAGGCTTCGGCTCGACCCAGACGGGCTTCGGTTTCGGCCCCGGCGGCATCGGACAGCAGGTGCGGCGCGCTGGGGCCTCGAACGACGGTCGCCCAAAATCATCGACTCCCGGCCGAATCTCACGGCGCCTTTTACAATCTGATCGAGCGGCCCCGAAGCCAGCGGGCGGGCTTGGGGCCGGGCAGCGCGCCCAAATTTGGGAATCAGACGTCCCGGGTTGGCCCTCCCTCTGGGCGAGGCGGTTGGGCAGGCTTCCCGGGCTCCCCCTGGAGTGTGATCAAGTCCGGGGGGCCGCCTCAGCCTCGATGGGAAACGAGAAAATGTCGGCCTGCACCCGTGACGGAGAGCAGCGCCGGGAGGCGTGAGATGCCTGGCCGTCGCCGTCCGCTCGCGCCGCGCTTTGGCCGACGTCTTTTCTTATCCGGTCGTCCCCCGCCGGAGGGGGCTGCTGACTCGCGGCAGCTCCTCTGTCCGCTTGAGCTGTCATCCTCGGCTGCGAGCGCACCAGCGCCAATTTTGGAACGCCGTTCTATCGGGCGTGCTGGAAGAGTCGTCGGCACTTCGTCGCAGGCCCTAGGCTGGCGCTGTGCCGATCATGACAAGGGCGACCCTGCGCTCCACCGACCAAGAGCGCAGACACATTTGGGGACTCTAGATCGTCGCGCGGCGCAACCGGCTGCCACCCTCGCCGCTGCGTTGTGCTTGGCGCGAATTCTGCACGTCTGGCTGCGCTCAAGATGCACCACCATCCCGCATGTCCAACCAATTTCTGGTGCCACACCGCCATCGGTTCTCGTCTCGTGCGTCGGCCGTGGCCTCGAATCTGCAGCGGCTCCCGAGGGCATGCGCCGGCCAGCACTCTGCGCATCCTGCGGAGTTCAAACCGCCCTGTGTGTGTTTTTGCGATTTTGTAGGGAGGCTTCGGTGGGCTCTCGACACCAGCGTTCGGAGGTGGCGGCGCGACAGCAACGGGAGGCGGAATGTTCGGAGGTTTGGGGGTGAGCTCTCAACGTTTCTTTCAGCTGAGCTGCTGAACACGCACTGCGCCCTCCACACGACGCCCCTGCCCCCAGCCCCGGAGTCTTCGTTGCTGTTTTCCGTTGCAAAACTCTTCTCGCGTCTGCAGCATGTGCTCTCATGCTCTTGTTCCGATGTGCTCTCTCTTGTTGTCGGGTGGCGAAGCGCAGCCCACTGATTCTGTCACTTGCCTTTGGACATGACGCGCTTTTTGCGCACCCACCTTCAGGTGTCAACCGGCATGGGGTCGGCATCAGGCCTGTTCTCGGCCAACCCCAGCAGCAGCGTATTCGGCCAACAGTCAGGGCCGTCGACGGCTTTCGGGAGCCAATCAGTGACCCCAGCATTCGGCTCCTCCATGCCCGGCACAGGTGCATTTGGCCAGACGACTTTCTCCAGCCAGCCCACTTCCACTGGTGGATCAGCCTTCCCACTCCCCCAGCGCCCAAAGGGCACGGGGAGGACTCCATTTGTGCCCAAGGTGTTCGTAGAGCCGGACGGCACTGGAAAGAAGCCGAACATGTGCACCTGGCACCATGTGAGCTTCGGTGATGCCTACAAAGGGGTGCCACAGGAGCTGCTTCGGTATGAGGACTACCAGCAGGGAAACACCGGCGGTGGTGGCCTGACGCAGGGCCAAGGTGCCCAGAGCACTTTTAGCCCTGGGGGGCTGTCGAGCCAACCTTCCTTGTTTGGAGGCCAGGCAGGTCTGGCAGTGAGCACGGCACCCCAAAGCAGCGCAGGATTTGGGTTGTTCGGAGGGGCCTCAACAAGCTCTGGGGTATCATCTGGTGGGGGACTCTTTGGTGGAGGGACAGGGAGCGTTTCATCGCAGCCGGGATCCAGCTGGAGTTTTGGAGTTTCAACTCAGCCTTCGACAAGTGCCAGCCTCTTTTCTGGATTTGGCCCAAAGCAGCCGGCACAGCCATCACAGAGTTTAACTTCTGGGGTCTCGAGCGGTTCAAGCCTGTTTGGGAATTCAAGCACCTTTTCAACAAGTGGACCACTTTTTGGAGGCACCTCGTCTTCTGTCATCTCCACTGCAGCGCCATCCATCTTTGGCGCTTCGTCTGGACACAGCTCCACGCTCAGCTTTGGGGTTTGGAACACCACTACAGGCACTGGCTCATCCCTTTCAGGCTTCCCTGGCTTCAGCAAGATGGCAACCTCAGTGGGCAACCCAGCCCCTGTCAACACGGGTTTCAACTTCTCTGCCACTAGCACGCCACAGGGGTCGCAGCCTTCACTCTTTGCCACAGCTCCTGCACAAAACCAACCACCCTTCAGCCTTGGTGCATCTTCTCAAGCTCTGTCCACACCCTCCTCGCTGTTTCAGCCAACCCTGGGCCAGGCGGGAGCTGGGAGCTCATGGATGATTGGAAGCGGGAGTGGCACAGGGTGTACGTCCAGTAGCAGCCAGGCTGGCACAGGGCTGTTTGGTGGGGCAGGTCAAACTGCTGCACAGTCTCAACGCCAGAGCATATTTCCACAGGGCCCTACAGGGGTGCCCACATCGCCACATCAAATGCCCTATGGACAGAACCCACTCCCGCAGTTGCCAGACCCTGTTGGGTGGACTGGATCAAGGATGACATCAAACCCTGCAGGATCACAGGTACGTGCTGGCCAGCATGTCTTACTTACTGAAGATGGGGCTCCCTGTCGAGAGTCATTAGATTGGGGCGCACCTTGCATGTGAGTTTATCTTTACTGTCTTACAGGGCAGCTGAGAACGCACATCCTCAACTTGCTGATCCTGTGGTTCATGCAAGTATCACTTTCTCACATCTTTTTCTGGTTGCATTCCATGGGACAGGATGAAGAGAAGGAGATTAGTGTAAAAAAAACTGACTAGTGTCGGCCTTGGGTAGATTCGCACATATGCAATTCCATGCAACTGATGCAAGAATGAGGATTGGTAACATACATGCGGGTGTGGTTGTTCTCCAGGTCATCATAGTGAACGCCGCTCCCAAGCAGCGCTACCCTGCCCGCCAACTGCCCTTGTCCATCCCCCCAGCCTCTTCACGCCGCTCCCTGCGGCGATCGTCAAGGTCACACTCCAGGCTGCTGTCTGACAGTGACTCACTGTTCAGCGACCAGTTGTGGCGTGGCACGGCCAGCCCGCCCAGGGGCATGGACGAGCCCCTGTTCAAGCGGGAGGATGTAAAAGAGAACCTGGGATCCTGGGACATTAAGGCATGCCTGGAGAGGACAGGCTCATCACCTGCACTGCTGATGCCAGGGGGGAAAGGTGCAGGCGGCGAAGAAGCAAACGATGGGTGAGTGCTATGTGAGGCAGGGAGAAAGTTGTTGCCAGCTGCATTTGCTATAGCAGTGCAAACAGGACTGTGTCGCTGTGCGGGCAGTCATGGGCATGACTCAACACTTGTTCATCAGCAGAACATTCTTACTGTTCATAGTGTTGTGCATGTGATGGGCAGTTGTGTTGTTGCTGGCGATTCCTGATGGGATAAGATCTGGGCAGGTTGACTGGGGAACAGGAAATTGGGGCTCCACCATTACGAAATTCCACTGTGTCCATTTGGATCTGATGGTATGGGGTGTGCCTGGAGGCTGCTTGGTGGCCCTTCCTAAACTGTTATCAATCGCTGGCAGCGAAATTCTGTGCTGAACACATTGGTTCATGGGGTAAAATACTGCTCATTCATGACCAGCCATTTGCACAGCTGATTCAGTCAAAGTAAATGTTTGGCTGGTCCGCACGTGCATCAACCATAATTTACCTTGTCAAAAATTTGCTGATGTCATGGACAGTGCAAATCCCTTGCATCAGACGACATGATCACAGTCAAAGTCAATCAACAAGTCAGTCAATCAGTCATCCCATACCCCCGACCACAATGCTTTGACGAATTTGCGCAAAGGACCGACTGCTGATGCCAGCAGATCTGCAAAAGAGACCTCGGAGGAGCCGTTGCGGCTCAAGAACACCGCCATTTCCGATGGAGAAAGCAACCTTTCCAAAGAGGATATCTCGCGGCTGCTGCCCGCAGTCCCGCAGCCGGAGTACTACACGAGGCCCGACCTGCGGGGCCTCAGCAACATGCTGCACGCTGACAGGCACGCGCTGAAACAAGTGCATGGGCTCACCGTGGGGCGCACGGGCTATGGAGAGCTCAAGTTTCTCGAGCCAGTTAATGTGGAGGGCCTCAACGTCTGCGACGTGGTATCCATCACGCGTGGTAAGGCACTTGCCGTCGAACTGTATGAACTCTGTTCCGGCCTTGTAGGCCTTCCCGTGCTATATGTTTGGGCGTTGGTTTTGAAGTACGGCGATTGAATTGCCCTGGGATACTTTACCTTGGGGGCAAATGACAGCGTTTCGCTGAATTTTGATAAGTGCTGCTGTTCAGGAGGATCAAAATGGGCGAATGTGGAGATGTGCGCCTTTGCTTGGGCCCCCAGTGACCACGAAAGAATTGCACATTGTCCCTGACCCTTTGACGCGGTTACCTTGTTAGCCAAACACACCCGGGCGCATACGCATATCAGGCAATGAAGATGTCTGGTTACGTTGTTTGGTTCCTTGGACTGCAGTCACCAGCATTGACCAATGCCGCCCAGGCACATACGGTACAATAGAATACCTGAGTTTGCGGTGCTCGCCGATGCAGGGATGGTGTCCCTTTACGAAAAGTCTCCGAAGCGCGACGTCCCAGTCCCCGGCCAGGGCCTCAACCAGCCCGCCGAGGTGAAGCTGCTGGACATCTTCAAGACGGACAAGCGGGGGGAGGTGCTGGACGACCAAGCCTCAAAAATGGCTTTCAAGAACAGCCTGAAGAAATACTGCAAGCGGGTGGACGCCACCTTCGTGAGCTACGATATGGAGGACGGGACGTGGATCTTCAGGGTGAGGCTTTTTCCCTTGGAATGCAGATGTACAGTACTGCAATCTGTCATGGAGGATGGGTGCGAGATTTCTCATACTGGCGATTTGGCCCTGTGCCATGCTTTCCGAAAGGCGATGCGGTACTTCAGAGGAGCAGAGGCCATTTTGTGCATGCTTGCAACAGACCTCCCATTGCGCCTGCTGGAAGAAAGGAGTTTAAAAATACAAAATATGTGTACACCTGCACAAATGCATGCACCGTGGCATTTTTGCACGTGACGCAAGACGATACAGAAATATCGAGTGCATCATGAGCCTTTGGGGTGAGCTTATTGGAGCAAGTGCACCGGAAATGAGACAGAGGCTGGCCAACCGAGGAGTCCCTGCAGCTGAAAAATCATGGCGACACGCCTGCGCGTAGGCGCTGTCTTGTCTGGCCAGAAATTTGCTGCTGAATGTATCAGAATGGCGCCAAGAGTGCACGAATTTCGCAGCCCAGTGACGATCTGTTGCATCCCTACCTGTTTTGTATACAAAAAGGATACATCCTTTTTGTGGAATGTTCGCGTCTGAATTACAGAAATAAAAACATTCAACAAGCGTTGCCTGCTGTCCTCGGCCCACAAAGTGATGCAGAGCACACTTGCGCGCTTGCATCGCACCGCACGCGACTCCATTTCGCGCAATTTCTATTCGTCTTTGAAAATTATTAAGATTCTGTAAATGGCGCGTCTATCAATTTCGATGCGGTCAATGGTTGATACCACCGTTGAGAAATCAGCACGCCAAGTGTGCAGTGCACGGGACCAAATCGATTTGTACTTCCACTTTTGCTTTTCAGTTTTCCATTAGGTTGAATATTGCTTTGATGCTTATCGTATCTTGCCTTTTGGCCGCAGTGTACCCACGTGACGTGTCCTGACGAATTTGCTCTTCTGGGCGCAGGTGAACAACTTGGTTTGACGGATTTGGTGTGCACTATTTGCCGCTAAATGCGCCATTTCATTATAATCTTGGATATAGAGACTAGAAAGGTAGTGGTACGAACACCCCTAATGTACGCTTTAGAACCTATTTTGCGGTTAGCCTGCCAGTTTCAATCTGTAGGATTTGATACATAGAAGCGAATTGTTTTGTGAGAGGGGGCCAGAGATGCGCCATACATTTGTGAGCAAATGTATGTGAATATTACGGACGGCTATGTGAGCCTGAATTGATCCAGCTTGTGGATAGCTGGCCTGACATAGTTTACGAGAAAAGCCTAGGAGAGGTATCAGCCGTGCAGATCTTGAAAATTTCGAGATTTAGACTGAGATTGGATAAAATTAGGATAATATTCAATTCGGCTTGCTTTCGAAATTAGACCTTATTTTTATCTGTCGTCTTTGTTGCCCAGCTGCTGACTCGCCAGGACTGCAATAACCTGCGTGCCGCCGTGGTAGACTCATGTTCGTCGGCCCCGCCATTCACACTGCCATGCCCACATGCTGTGGCAGGGACACTCTGCAATGGCAAATTCACAGGTCCCCGAATAATGTTTGACCCCGGCGCCAAAAGATCCCGCCGGTACGCAAGGAGGAAAGCCCTTAGGAGGCAAATAAGCATACAAAAGTTCTATCGTGATTCGCAGAAGAGGTTCAGTTCCGGGTGTAGGACGTTCCAGGCTTGCTATGAACTTTTATTCTGGCTCACCCACACCTGACAAAGCAACGCAATGTTTATCAGCGCTCTTGGAATGCCCTTGCCTTCTATAAAGTAGATCCATGTTACAGGCAGGTTCAAGTGTGTACGAGCTGTCAGTAGTTTGTCCCTTATGTTATCCCATTATGTACAGTGAACTAACCAGACTTGAGGCGCCGCCATTCGCTCACCATCAAGGGAGGCAGTGCTGTGATGGGGGATGTATCGCTCCATGTCGAGATGCGAAGCCTGGATGCCATTGCAAATTCGTACACCTATACAAACGCATCGGCATTTTGGGCTTGGCATGTTGCGCATTACAAAACGGGCCATGGCTTGCGGGCAGGGTTTCTGTCAAAGGGGGCAATGGAAGGGAGAAAAAGTTGTCCTACGCAGGGAGCATGGATCCAAGGTGCTCTTGTGAACAACCAACGTTGAACAGCTGTGCATCGAACACTTGAAACTTTCCATACACCAAATGCTATCCCATTCACCCAGCGCTGGTCAACGGTCACAGCGATGAAGCAATAGCTCTAAGTATGCTGAGCTGAAGCGCCCAAAAACAGAAGACAGCGAAAGGAACGTGCAAGAGGAACGGGGCAGCGTGGGACGCGCCCCTGTCCATTCCATGCCAACGTCTGACACCAGTAGAAAACAGCCTGTTTGCGATGCCAATTGCGGCGCAATTTGAAACAAATCGACGCCATCGCAGCCACTTTTATCCATCGCAATCACTGCGATGGCATCACTGTGTGTCAAAATAGCATCGCAGTTGGCATCGCATACATGCCCTTTTCTACCAGTGTGACGCAAAATCTCCGCGGCGCATTTTTCATTCACAAGGGCGCCTATTCGAAGTCGAAATTTGTCGAAGAAAGGTGGCTACCGCCCAAATCCACAGCCGCATTTGAAAATGACTGCGATTTGACGCTTCCTGGAGAACATGCTTCATGCAACACACATGCAGTCAACTCGGATGGAGCATTTTCTTATGGTCAACACCTGTGAAAAATAGGAATGCAGAAGTTCTGTGCATTTTTGTGTTGTACGTTAGATTGCATCCAGAAACCATGGACATTGCTCCGCTCTGACAGAATAGAAAGATGACGCCTGCCTCATTGCCGTGCTACGTAAGAATGCATGATGAACTCGACGTCGAACACCTTTGCATTGGTCGTCTCTGCCAAGCGGCGCGTCAGGCTCCCTTGATGGCAACAGAGGCGTTCGGTCACACGCCTGGGCACGTGGCCTGCTCGCCGCTTGGGCCACAGGCGCGTACTTTCGCGGGCATCAAATCGGTCGCCCTTGTGACTCGGACTGCCACGTGTGCCCCATTCAGCTAATGAATGACTAATTATGTGGCTGCCATGTGATGTTACGTGACTTCCATGCGCTGGACCGGCGTCTTCGGGTATAAATTGGACCCTTGGCAGCATTCTGGCCACATCTCAAACACTCTTCCCTTACAGCCGAGACCTTGGGTTTCGATCGGCGGCAACGACAACGTCCCCGAGACGCTGGTGAGCTAGAGACTAGCTGCCCTCACACCCGGAGACCACGGGTAAAAAATTATCCAAAGTACACGGTCCTGAACACCGTGTATCGTGTTATGCGCTTAAAAGTGGTGTAAAATTCGTGTAAACATCGTGTACCCATCGTGTTTTGATCACAAAATAGACGGCTGCCGCTGGTACACGGTTGAAATCGTGTAAAATCGTGCTATTTATTGCATTGTGCATGGTGGTAAGGTGGACGTCTTTCGTGTACTACACAGGGCTGAAAACTACGCCATTTTAACAATCGTGCAAAATCGTGCTCCGAAGTACCCGATTTCTACACGGTTTTAACACGATTTCACACGATTGCACACCGTGTGAAATGGCCGAATTTTTACCCGTGGAACGCACCGTGGTGCCGCTACTTCCATTTGGGATACCCTATCGTTTCATTTCCACATGTTTTGACGGCTTGAGACTGGCTGGTCTTTCCGACGCCAAGTGCAACTAACTTCGCGACAGACCCTCAGGAGCTCGCCGGGCTTGAGCCGCATTGGATATCCACTGAGAGCGTTCTTGCGGGCCTGTGTTTTCAATTGGATAGACACTGAAGTCGACAGCAACTTACCCATGACTCGAGCCGCTGCTGAAACGTTGCTCGACGCTTGGGGACCACGGGACGCGCTTCTTGATTTCTCTGGTTGCTCGTGCACTGCTATATCGCTGAAAAATCGTGCGAGCATTTGGGGGCGGGTTTGGGCGTTGCGGGATCAATCGGAGCTGGCCGTTTGCAGCATTAGCGTAGTTAAGGCGTTTATGTTTAGGAGGGGGCAGAGTGCGAAGCGCCAAATTTGGATGTGAAAGGGGCACAGTGCTTCTCTTATTCTTATGGGAAAATTTGAATTCGGGAGCTGAGTAACAGGCGCGGGGACCTGCCCTGGTGATTTGGCAGCCAAGTTAGGCTTAGTTTTATGTTGTTCCTTTTTCTCATTGGCCGAAGAACCAAAAGGGGACGAGCGGCAGTAAGCACCATCTCTTTTGTAGCCTCAAGGCGACACGGTTTGCACTTGGGCGCATTAGAGACGCATGCAACTCTACAGCGTTTTAAAGTGCTGTGGCCGCCCAACAATTTGTCGGTGTTTCCGTGGATGGCAGAATTGTAACAATTGCTGCAATGCCTAGATCGAACAGACAGGATCCTTGCCGCTGCCACCTGCAACTGGAGGCCCTTGCGAATCTCGCGCCAGAGCAGCAAGCCACGGCTGATCATCTACTGAGCTTGTGGCAGGAGTCTATAAGGAGGACCCTCCAGCGAGCCTCAACCCCCCCCGCGTCTCAAGACACGAGAAGAATGTGCTCCAATAAAGGTCCCCTTTATTGCTGCCCATCAAATTTGTGGGAATGCGTGACTTTGCTATTCAGTGGGCAAGGAGCCCCGTTGGTTTCCGAGGTTTATGGGCACGATCATCGTTTTCCTTCGCTCTCCCCGCCAAGTGGCTCCCAAGTTACTCGCTTCTCGGGCCGAGTCTACAATTTCAACATATTGGATCCAAAATTGGAGACCCCCTACTGCTGCCCTTGAACGACATTCTGGGAGCTGGAAATGATCAAGCACGACTGCGCAACTGGACCAGTGTGACATGCATATTTTTGAATGACCTGGGAATAAGGATGAATGAGGCAAAGTCCTCTTGGATACCCACACATGTCAATGCCCACTTGGGCCTGATCGTCGACATGGCTAGAGGCTTATTTGTAGTTTTCCTAGACAAAGTTGCTTGACTTTGTAGCCAAGCAATGGTCTTGACGACCGTAGCAAGTCGCAACAAGGGCCGAGTCCAAACAAGCAAAATCGCTTCATTTTGTTGACTGGCTCAGTCGGTCAGTCTATCGATTCGGCCTACATGACTCTTCCAAATGCGTTTCATATGTGTTTGAAACCCAAGTGCGCACAGCATAGCTGGTGAAGCTCAACACCCAAGCATTGCAAGAATTCTATTTAGAATTCTTCATATCGCCCATTCGACCCTCCCGTTCAAGTGCTCGTGGAGCAAGAACAACCATATAAACCATATAACAACAATGTATTGGTTGTTCTTGCTCCACGATCACTAGAACGGAAGGATCGAATGGGCGATCTGAAGAACAGGCTTGGTTTTTACGTTTACGTTTACGTTTTTACTTTTACGTTTCTACGCATAAATACGTAAATTTGCAAAAGGCCCTATTTTTGCGGCTATTTTTCCGTTTTTACGGCTCCATGGGACGCCCAGATTATACGATGAAAGTTGTGTACAATGATCAGTCTTCCGCCATATCCAGCACCCGCAACACAATGTCCACCTCGCCCTTGGCAAGGGCGATGATGGCGTTTAACAAAAGCTCGTTTTCTGCCCCTTCCAGGGCGTGTGGATGCCATTCTCCGGACTCTTTAAGTCTGTATGCACTGTCCCTATGTACACCGGGCAGTTTTTACGTTGTATTTACGTATTTTTATGCATTTTTACGCGTAAAAACGTAAAAAATATTTTTACGTGTAAAAACGTAAAAAATACTTTTACGCGTAAAAATGTAAATACGATCAGTTTTTATGGCGTAAAAACCAAGCCTGCTGAATAACCCAGGTGTGCTTCAATTTGCCACAGACTCAAGTAATTTTGCTCGGGGGGCTAAAGTGCAACACGAGCCCTCAGCGCCTCTCTCCTCGAAGCCCCAGTCGCTCCTTGCACGTGGCTTTTGGCCAGCAGCAACACATCACAAACACGTCAATCTAGAGTTGATGGCACT